GTCATGCAGTTTGACGTACTTTTTTGCAGTTTATTCATAAGGGTCAGTTCAATGTTATTCACCGCTTCCAGCTCCCACTCATAAGCTCCCTCTTTGAATTTTGTACATTTTGTGAATAATGTCTGCTTCCTCAAATTTACCTAAAACGCTTCCTCCCGATTTTCTGGATCACGCCGAACCGCTCTCTGCAGCTCAAGCTGGTCATTTGCGCCACTTCCACAATCTTGCAACTGCACCTCTCGGAGTATGGCCACACATGGGCTCGCAGATTCCCGGGGAGGAGTGGTTTGATTCTCTGCGATACCAGCTCGCGACGATGGCCTACGCTGCAAGTGTCGCTCATTACCATCGGCTGCCCGCGTTACGTTCTGTGTTCAAGTCTTTGCTGGAAAGTTTGATTACGAAGATGCTGGATAAAGAAGTTTGGGGTTACTGGTGGGAGCTTTCCAACATAATCATATCGAGATACATGGTCTCACATCGGATACTAGGTATTTGACCAGCCAGAGCGGAATCCTGCTCGATCCCGACCTCAAGGAGCTCAGAAAGCCATGGGCTGATCCTGTCGTTACTGAAAATATTATGGTCGCGTCCTTTTTCTCGCCTCGGCAGCCCCTATCTAACCGTGTCTATGCAGTATTCCGGGCATCTTCTTCTTATGATTTCCCTACACGCCATGTTATTCGACGACGACAAGTACGATGCGCCTGATGCGCTTGTATTCAAGTGGGCACCAGTTTTCTGGGGAATGGGCCCTGAAACATTTACCTACAACCGTACCACACTTCAAAAAGCGATCCTCAAGGAGATGGAACGCGAAAACTGGATTGGTGTCTGTTGTGAACCCAATGCCGTGTACGTTCTCATTGTCTGCATGCGTTTGAGTTTGGCACTGATTTGTTCTCCAGCTTTGTCGTGTGCAATCAATTTCCGGTGAGCGACAATGTGTTCTGCAGCGTTCATGACTGATCACTTGCAGCTCATTGCGATTCGATACAACGACATTCGCACCGGCACCAACCTCATTGAAGGCGTCCTTGAAAAGTACACCGCAGCTTGGGATGCTAAGAACGGTTATTTGCAAGATGACGGGCTTTTCGTTCATTGCTTCCAAGTAAAGCAACGCCAACGTATTCCGGAACGAAGTCTTAGCTTTACCGCGTGGTAAGTTGTCTCCCAGCCAGCCACTATAGATCCCCTTATATATTTCACGTCCAGGGCCTGCGCATTCATGAATTCTTGGAACTCAGAGGAAGTGCACGCGCTCTATCCTCGCCAAGCTGTCGGATTCATGAACACAAAGCCGCACGACGGCCGTGTCAACGTTCACAGTGCCCCCCTCGCGCAAGCCATCCGGACTTTGATCAGAGAAGAGGACGCCGATCCAAACGCCCCTGCGACATTGAGCAAAGCCCGCGAGATGTCAAAAGACGTGCCCAAATTCTTCCCTGCCGAATTCGGCTACGTCTCGCAATGGGTTTCCGAAGTGGGCGACGCTGCAACCTTGAAGGGCCTCATGCTGCACGCCGACACCCATCTCAAACCGACATGGGACAAAGGTGGTCTGTTCTATCCCCGTAACGACGAGCTGGAGGATGCGGAGGGGAACTGGACCGCCATGCAGGCTTACACTGGCAACGGCGCTATTCCTTACGCGCGGTTGAACGTCCATGATGGTCAAAAGATTATGTGGGAGAAGCCCTGGCCGCGAGGGCACTCACTCGTCGCGCCCTACGTCGATGGGGTGGATCTGAGCTCTGGCGTGGATTTCCTTCGGGGCAAGTGGGATGCGGGTCTCGGAGCGATGATTGTTACTTTGAAGACATGGGACGGTTCCAGCCAGCCGTGAGTCTCGCTTAATCTTGTTCGTAAAACCCGCTCATTAGCTGCTTTGCCGATGCAGAGTATCCCCCATTTTCCGCAACCTTCCCGAGGGCAAATACGGTGTTTACATCAACCGAACGTTGACGAAGACCCAATCGGTGACCGCAGGGGACAACATCATCATCACCGTCGATGTAGAAGGGCGGGACCTCGATATCGTTGTGCTCAAGGAAAACATCAAGCGACAGCTCTGAGTTGACTTCGATGCCAGTCTGTAAGTATTTTTAAAAGCGTATTATAGTCGCACTTTAGAGTATCCATACATGTAATCCTCCGTACGTCTCATTTTAATAACTCGATTGCGAAGTCGATCCAACCGTGGTCCCATTCGCATTCACCTAATTATTGTGCCTGAAGGTGACCCATTCCAAATTTAGCAAGCAACCCAATCTTACCTCGATGACTGCCCAATACACCCACGGCCACCATGACTCTGTCGTTCGCTCGCATTCCTGGCGTACCGCAGAGAACTCCTGCGGCTATTTTCTGAGTTGTATCAGACCAGATATGCACATTCTCGACGTTGGTTGCGGGCCTGGGACAATCACAGCGGATCTGGCGAAACGAGTACCACAAGGGCATGTTACTGGGATCGAGTGTTCTGCTGAAGATGTCCTTCAAACCGCCAGAGAGCAAGCCGCCGCACAAGGACTCACGAATCTTACCTATTCAATCGGCGACGTTCTGTCGCTACCTTTCTCAGACGCCTCTTTTGATGTTGTTCACGCGCACCAAGTTCTGCAGCACGTTCCTGACCCAGTTCTGGCTCTCAAAGAAATGTATCGCGTCGCCAAACCTGGGGGGATTGTCGTTGCTCGCGATACAGATTTTTCGGCAATGACCTGGTATCCGAAAAGCAGGCCCCGGGAAGCTCCTGCCAAGCCTGCTCCGGAAAAGTGGGTTTTTCAGGCCGAAATTTCGCCATTTTCTTCTCCAAAAAGTGGGTTTTTCAGGCCAAAAAATCGCTCGACCTTCTCCGAAAGTGGGTTTTTGGGGAGATTTTGGGCTGTTTTCGACCGATTTCGCGGAAATCAAGCTCAATTCTGATCCCATCACTCGGCGGGCATTTCGGCAGGTCAAAACCTTCTCCGAAAAGTGGGTTTTTCAGCGGAAATTGACCAAACCGAGTGGGTTTTTGAGGCCAAAATGCTGAATTTTTTCGGAGCAGGCTTTGCAGGAGCTTCCCGGGGCCTCGAAAAGCGAAGGAATCTCTTTATGGTACTCTTGGGCTTCATTCACACCCTGAATGGGTATTCACACGACTCTTAAGGCATACGACGCATATGAATGTAGGGCGAAAGAACGGCGGCGAACCCGACTCCGGCCGACGGCTTCTCTCTTATGCGCTCGAAGCTGGAATCCCTCGACAACAAATCACCGCGACTGCGAGCACCTGGTGCTACAGTGCAGCGGAGGACGTGGCCTGGTGGAGCTCTACGTGGGCAGATCGCGTTCGGTTGTCGACGTTTGCATCCAGTGCACTGGAGTACGGATTCGCAACCGAGGAAAATCTGGAAGAGATGTCTTCAGCTTGGAAGACTTGGGGTGAGCAGCCGGACGCCTGGTTTGCGCTTCTGCATGGCGAAATTCTCTGCCGCAAATGTTGAATGCGTCGAACAACTGATAAATAGCAGATTTTCTCGATGTACCAACTGGACTTGTTGTACACTACCACAACCGGATACTTGAATTTTCAACAGCCTTCCATTCCGTGTTCATGTGCCGGTACATTCGATCGGCGAGGTTGGTAGGGTGAAATACTGGCGACACCCCGCGGACGCATACAACGCTTGCGAAGGATCGCCATAGGCTTTATTACGCAGTCAACGACAAAAATACGGGAACGTGCTCACGGCCATAGCATGCCCTCGGTACTCACTCGTTGCTCACTCGGTGTGTCACCATGAGCATGGGAAATTTGAAGATCTCGGCGACGTCTGTTGGTTTCGGAGAGCAACATGCCAACATCGGACATGCGCGGGTCGAAGCGCGAACAATGAACGCTTCCCCCGCGAAATCGATGCCGGACCAAGATGCGGAAGGCACAAGTTACAGATATGCAGTGTCGTGCTGCTGGCGACCAAGAGGTCGTGTCATGTCGTGGCCGGATTTGCTCGGGAAAATCAATGCTGGACGACTCGAAACATCGAAGAACGAAGGTGAAGCTGAGCGCATGCTACATAAACAGAGTTCAGCACCAGATTCCGGAACGAGATCAAGATGCTTATGTACGACGAGGACGATGTCATCCGAAGGTGTGACCCCGCCGCATCTCCGAATCGATACAGATGGCTGAGCAGGCAGTCCAACAAGATCATGGGCGGTGTGTGACGCAGCCTGTCCGGGATTCAAGTTGCGCCAGACTCAGGATCTCTGTTCAGAGACCGATACAGCGCCCATTGCCGGTAGTCCACTCACTGCGGCGACCGTTTCGCTTGTGTTCGCGTCGGTTGTGGCCACAGACCGTAAAAGTACGGATGGCAAGGGATGGCATGGCTCCCAATACCGAGGCGCACTGACTTGAGTTACGTGCTGTTACGTCGCAGGAAGGTTACACAGTTACAGCAGCACCATGAAGGTTCGAAGAAAAGGAGATCCTCGGAAACGCGAGCCCGAGGTGTCGACGATGACGAGACAGTACAGAAAGGCTTGCAAAGGCGCGCTGTGGCGGAGCCTAGGTGGGCAGAGATTATACATGTGAAATGGGTTGAGGCGGTCTCTCAAATTGTCCATCTGATGTATGGTGAACCGCATGTGAATGGACCCAACTGCAGACACAGACAGATGCTATTAGAGCATATTAGTAACTGGTGAAAAGCATTTTGCACTTGCTCCTCGACCAATCAGCGGCCGTAAAAATCAGCGGCCGTAAAAGTGCACGTGTGGAGCAGCCAACCAGCGTCTGGTGCAAAATACAATTCACCAGTTGCTAATGTGCTCTATTCAGCCTATCCAAATCACTTCTGTGGTTTCGTGGTTCGGCTCTAGTCTCTTGCACTGACTTCCCACTCGACAACTCGACGTAACGGTTCGGCGCGGTGTCAGACGTCAACCTGCTCATCATTCTCGCCGTTCCCCCTTCTGACTTCGAAAAACATTTTGAAATGTTGACGGATGCTTCCTTGGCTCAGTTGGTAGAGCGTCAGTCTCATATCACTTGTCATCTGAAGGTCGTGAGTTCGAGCCTCACAGGGAGCAGGTTCTTTTATTCGTTTTCCGAATTCCGAATCTTTTTGTCTTCATTCACCTTAGAATGCAGCGTAGCGGCGTTTTTTATTTGGGACGCTTCTCTGGCATGCTTGATCTGAGTTTTTCGCTTAGTTTCAACTTAGTTTGTTGCAGCGTCTGAGGAGGTTCTCACGTTCTCACGTTCTTGCCGATATGTCATTGGGTAGACGCGTCTTGCGCTGATCCCGCGCTAATCCAGGCCAATCTCAACTCTCAGCATGCCAGACAAGCCCGTTCCTCTCAAGCAACGACGTCCAGGGCGCTCCTGCGATAACTGTCGTCAAAGAAAAAGTGAGCAAAATGGGATAACATGTTGTGCGCGGTGGACTCAGGGACCCTATAGCTCGATGTAATATGAAGTACAGGCGTCAAAACTCAGTTCTAATGTTACTGGTGTAGGTGACGGTCAAACTATGCCCAATGGCAAATGTTCCAGCTGTCTAGCTTTTGGATCACTTTGCACCTATAACGAACCGGCCAAGAAGCGCGGTAGGAAGGACAAGTGCGTTTGTTTCGAGACATTCCAGCAATTCGTGAATTCTTCCTAGTGCTGTGGAAGAACTGGAAAGGGAGATTGCAACCTTGAAAGCTAAACTACGAGCGAACTCTGTCTGCTCCTTATGTGCCCAACCATTGGTTCGGCCGACTCGCAGCGTCTCCGTATTTTCCAATACTGATACTCTTACCCCGGTGAACGACACAGCTGCGGATTCAGAATCTCCCCCCAAAGATGAGGAGTCGGTTGAAGAGTTAGCTTCGCGGTTCAGTCGGTTTCAAATGGACGACACGATTTTCGAGAAAGAGTGCTTCGGTGCAGCCAGCAGTTTTGCACTTGCTGACCACGTCATCTCGGTCAGATTCCATTGTACCAATTTCTGCACTGGCTCAGATTGCGAACAGCTGAAAGAAACTGATGAGGGGTCTCCATTTTTCTTGAATTCGCGGCGGCCTCTTTATTGGGATTTATTACCAGTGAGATTTGTTGCTGTACACCCCAGACACGACTGATTTCAGTCAGTGGGAACGAGAAACGTATATTGAACATCCGCAGTATGTCTATCCCCCCAGAGACTTGATTCAGTCGCTTCTACAACTGTACCTCATCAATATACACCCAACTTTCCCAATCCTGCATTTCCCTTCGTTTTCCCGGTCTGTAGAGCAAGGTTTACATCTCACCAACACAAAATTCGGTGGAGCGTTGCTTGCTTTGCTTGCTGTGGCATCGAGAGTGAGTTCAATAATATTCGTCTATTTGTCATTAACGGCCAGCATCCAGTACTCGAAAGATCCGCGTGTGTTCATCGACGGGGATACATCTTCCCTTTCGGCTGGCTGGATGTTCTTCCAACAAATATTAAATTGGGTCATACGCAAATATTATGAACCTACGATCGACGAGGTTCAAATGTATGGTGTAGGCTGATATTTTTGCTTCGTAACACAGCTCTCTAAATGGGATCATGACAGCTCATGTGCATGTACTCCTGCGGCATCTCCGCACCCCAAAACTCATGGTTGTACTTGGTATGTCTCTTGCATCCATACAACATAGCGAGGATACAATGTTATCCAGGGGATTGGTATCCGATGTCTACATCAACGTGGTGCACACAGAAAGCGCACGGGTGAGCCAGACTTGTCAAAGGAGCTGTGGATTCGAGCTTTCTGGTATGATCACGGTCTTGGAGTCTTTTTCTTCCTTTGAGCACCCTCAAGGTCCTTTGTCTTTTTGGACCGTCTGGTAAGCGGGTTCACAGGCAGACCAATGAGCCTGCATGTCGAGGAGTATGAAGTGCTTGTTTTTCTTTCATCTGTTGCTGCTGACTGGTCTACCCGTTATAGTTACGATGTTCAGCTGCCACTTGAAGTCGACGATGAGTATTTTGATCAGGGATTCGTGCAGCCGCCAGAGAAACCGTCTTATCTCTCGTTCTTCGTATACGACTTGCGGCTCGCGGAGGTTCGTCTATTTGCCTTCAAGCCGAAATCGTTTGTGAGTCAGAAAGCAGATATGGGCCGACGTGATGCGCAAATTGTATGCATCCAAAAAGGCTAAGATTCTGATGGGCTGGGACAACAAAGATTGGGAGCAGCAGACGGTTGCCAAATTCGATTCGAGCATGAATGACTTTTTGGATTCCATTCCGTCTCATCGTGCGTTCTCCGTCCCAAGTACTTCATATGCTAACATCACTGCGCAGTCAAGTGGAATCCAGAACAGCTACCACAGGGAGTGTTTTTGGAGCAATCCGTTATCCTGCACATAACATATCAGTATCTGTTGATAGTGGTTAGTTAACTGGTCTTTCAGCTTTCCGATTCTACGCTGACCGCTCTAGGCAGATTCACCGGCCGTACATACATCAGTCAAACACTCTAAGTTCTGCATCCCTGTCCATCTGCGTTAACGCAGCGCGCACCATCCTTCGAACAGCCGATATCTGGCTGCACAAATTACACCGACTCCCTCAACACTCGATTATTGTAAGTCAGGGCTTGATTTATCTTACCCCTCTGATCGATTTTCTTCCTGAAAAAGAATCCCGTCAACGTCGCTGGATTGATTCTTGCTTTCAACATACTCGCAGCGAAACGCGCTGGGCTCGTGGTCGACAGATGGCGGGATTCGGCTCTCATCGCGACAGCGCTGGAGGTACTCAAGTCCGGGGAAACGAGGCGAGTGTTGGTTCCGTTCCCAGATCTCGGTAATAAATTCCATGTCGCAGATATCAGCCCGTCGGTCGAATACGCGATCTCCTCCAGGAAATATGCTCCAATGGACCTCAAAATAATCAGCAGCCCACTAATCCAGCGGGCGTGAGCGGCACAGGAGCGCTTCAGAAGCAAAACGAGACCAAAAACGTTGGAACCTCCGCCACACAACAGCTACAATCTGGAGGGCTCTTCGATCCGACGTTTTCACAGTCTGAGTCGGACGCTTTTGTAGCATCATCCGACTTTACTCCAGGAATGTCCATTGAGGAATTGCTCGCTGACACAAACCCTACGAGAAGCGCGTTGGAAGATGAACTGATGTCGCTGTGGACGGCGGTGCCTACCGATTTCGCGTAAGTCACGTTTGAGCTCCCAGTTGAGGTAATTTATCACATTTGCAGGAGCATCGCCAATTGGGACTCTTATTTAGGTCCCACGAACACCGAATGGTACAGAGCACCCGGGCTCTAGTGATTCTTTTTCTTCTTTTCGCAATGTCACAATGCTTTGATAGAAACTCGAGTATACTAGAGAATGAATGCCAGCAATATTAAGATGAATGAGAGAATCCGGATGAATTGAAGATGTCCGACAGCAAGATAGCGATGATACATTTATACATTGGTACTCTAAGAAAGCGAAGATTATCAGGCGCAGCAGTGTAGCACCAGAATGAATTAATTGAGTTTGCAACCAAGAATTCTCACTGCACCAAGTCAGTATCTCAATGACAATGGACAAAGAGCGAACTCACCGGTGCCATCGGGTTCCCCTACTCCGTATAACATTTCAAGAGGGTGGAAAGCCAAAGTACTCGACCGGGTGGTGAATGAAGACATTAAGCCGCGAGACGGCGGACTCAACAGCCCCGTGGATATACCGAAGTTCGAGAGCGTAGTATCGGCCTGCTTCAGCGATTGCACCTTGATGCGCTGCGACTTCCATGTTCGTGGAGAAATAGCCGAGGCTCTGTTGGAGTGATAAGAAGATGGCAAGATACTCCGGTCATAACGTACACTGCAAATACGCCGGTTGTGGGGTGACAGTCAAAAGTAGATAACCCATCGGGAAGGAGATCCCATGTCATGAGAGAGCTGTCGACGGCGCCTCGATAGTCCCATAGTTTAACTTTTCCATCGAAGCTGTAAATGTGTCAAGGAATAAATACTGCCCACAATGTCGCATCAAATACCTGGCTGTGAGGAATTGAGAACGGGCCGTCGGATTACATCTGACGTTTTGCACCCATGATTCGTGTTCGACGAATTTCCTCACGACAGAATTGTCTTCTGCCATCCGCCTGTCGAAAATCTTCACCTCTCCGTTGGCGAAACTAGCGGCAAAGAGTTGAGACGGCTCAAAATCGCAGACAATTGAGGTGACAGGGCTCTCCGAGTTGGTGTCCAGATCCTAGAACCGCATGAGGTGACACGGGATACGCATTCTGAACAACTTACCAAGGTCGGGGTTTCAGTTTGAGCGTCCCACACCTTGATTACCCTCGAGTCTCCGCCGACCAAAAGAATGCCATCAGACTGTTTCCAGTCCAGAACGACACCAGCACCTTGACGCACATTGACCAGTTCTGTCAGTGCTCGGAACGCACTGACCATCTGAACCGGTCCTTGGTCTATTGCCGGATCATAATTCCGATATAAACGAACGACACCATCGGCTAGAGGGTAGATAAGATATCGCTCATATGTATTGGGGAAGACTGACATGATCCGGTTAGTATAATGCCGCCTACATCTTCGTTGATGACTTTCAAGGAAGTTACTCCGGTACCGACTGGATTCCCGTTTTGGAAGGAGCTCAGTCGCCGGCGCTGCGACCAGTCCCAAACACTAAGAGAGTGTAAGAGGAGAGGAGGCACGGATGGGTGAGATATTCACCTGACAGTGTTGGAATCGTTGGCAACGAAGAGATGTTTGTCGTACGAATGGAACACCATGGACAGAGGTTGTCCCTGGACTTGGAGGGTCGCTACCGGTCTGTCCCATGAGCGAGTCGCTACGAAGATTGAATGCGCTGAAGGGCTACCGCATAGAGCAACACATACCAGCAAGTGCGGCGTGTTTATGTGTTTCGTCGATGACAGCCTCGTTGCGCTGCTGCCGCCAGAGCTGGTAGTTGAATTGGATACTCCCCGCTTCGTCGGCTTCCGCTTGCTGCAAAGAAAAAGGTAGTCAATGATTATGAACCTTGCAAAAAGACAATTCACGTACCCTCATCTGGGGTTCGATAAAGTA